AGAAAAAGAATATTAGGCCAATCTGATATATTAATAGACTGGTCATAGTTCTATACAGGTTATTTGGATTGAAAGTTTGGTAAAAAGGCAGAAAAAAAGGCAGGTGTATATTGCAGTACTGGAATTATGTAGTAAAATAGATGCTAGGGTCTAAGTAAACTCTACAAGGGCATAGTGATTTAATGGTTAGCTCTGATTGCAAGTATTGATTCTGTCATAGCAATACCTAGATCAGCTATAAAAATAGGTACAGAAGGTTCTAAAGGTTTACCTCAAGAATAAATTAGTCCTAAAGTTAAGATAATGATCTGGGCATTTGAGTATAATCCAGTAAGTTAACAGATTACAGATTCAGAGGATTTAAAGTAGAACACCCAAGCATAGGTATTAGGTATAACAATTAATAGGAAATCTTCAGATGGACTTCTTAAATAGATAATATAGAAAAGTTACACATGTAGCTAATTGTACTCTCTCCTGTAGTAGTTCATTAAACCACAATACTGATAAGTGATTAATAAAAGTTAAAAGACCAAATAGGTTACCTTAATACCAAAAAAAAATAAAGTGATTGTTGTATTTGTGAATAGTATTATGATAAGTACTAGCTTTATTTTATTGAAATTTAAAGACTATATATAGCTATAAACAGTCTGGTTATTAGTACTTCTTCTAAATATTTCTAAGCTTTAGTATTTAGTAATTCTTGTAAAAAGTAAACAATTTTATTATGTCTGACCAATACAGAAAGGACAATAGGTAACAAAACTTTACTATATGATCCTATTCAACTCTTATAGTATCTAGGAGGCTATTGAATTTAAATTTCTTAAACACTTATTTATTTGTCTTCTTATTTCTTTTTAGTATTAGAACTTTTATTTTTTAAATTACAATATAATTTAAACCAAAATTTTATTAATTTTATTCAAAATATATATATACATATATATATAACAAAAGAAAAAAATTATTTAGTTTTTTTTCACTATTATTATTATTAGTATTATTATTATTATTATTATTATTATTATTATTATTATTATTACTATTACTAGTATTATTATTATTACTTTTTTTTTTTTCTTTATTATTCATAAACCTTAATCAAAGGTTGTTTCATTCTAAATTATGTACATGTTTCTTAAGGTTATTTATTTCTTTTTTTTAGATATTTTTTTTCAATTCTGCATATGCATTATTGAGTTTATTTTTAAGATAAACACAGTTTGGACAACTAGAGCTATTTGTATATTCTTTAGTTTTCTTTTTTAACTAAACTAAGGAACTTTGAACTGCTGCTACCATATCTTGTAGAGAACCAAAATGAGTTAATAGGTCTTGACAAAAAGCAGTAGAAGTAGATGAAGAAGCAGAAGATTGGATCATATTAAAGCCATATTTTTTCAAGAATATTCTTTTAATAAAATAAAAAATATAAAAAGATTGTTAATATTTTTCTATAAAGTAAACAATAACAAAATAATGAAAAGTTTTGTTATAATAAAGAAAACAAAAAGAAAGTACATATAAAGAATAGAAAGATTAGCTGTACAATATTAAATATTGAGCTATGATCTTTTCTCACTTTAATCTGGATATCCAAGAAGTTAAACTAGAAAAAGAAGAAACTCTAAGTGATCCAGTGAAAAAGCTAGAGTTTCTCTATGAATTAGTATGATAATCATAAAAAAAAAAAGTTGAAAAAAGAAAATAAAAGGATAATAACTTTTTAAAATCAACTGTATAGATATTGATGAAAACTAAATGAACAATTAATTAGTTTTATAACAAAAAAATAATTATAGAAAATTTTGAGACAATCAATAATCATTTTTCTAAAACAAAAGCTACCAAAATCTGATCAGTTCAATTATTTTCCACTTTTAGTATCCTGAATTATTTGGAAAATTCTAGAGAAAAATTCAAGTTTATTATTGGGTTTAGAATAATAAATCACAATAGTTGTTAATTATTAATAGACAAATAACTAAATATAGAAATTTAGTATGATGATAAACAAGATTAAAGTTCAAAGCCTAGATTAGCTAATAAAAACTTTTAGAATATTATCAATTATATCTAAAAATAGGATGATAGAACACAATTATCAAATACAGAAATCAATTAGAAATTGATTTAACAAATTTAGAATAGCAAAGATTTATAAGTTGTATAATTACAAATTACATGAAATTCTAACATTTTATTGAACACTTGAAGTATCCTAATGATCTTTAAAAAGGGTACAGATTTGAAATTTTATAATATTTCCAGTATGGATTAACAGTATAAGGCATATTACTAGGCAGTATAGGTCATACATTTGAGACTGACTAGGGTAAGCTTTCTGTTAGAATTCAAGTCTTGTAAGGTTCTTGGTTAAAGTACTAGAAATAAATTTTTTTTATTCTTCTTTGAACAATTATACTTATTTTTTTATTATTATTTTAGAATATTACATTTTTATTAGTTAGATTTTGAAACTAAAATTTTATTATTATTTATTATATATTATATTTATATTTTATTATAAAAAAAAAAAAAAAAAAAAATAGACAAAAACAAAAAAAAAGAGATAAAAAATAATAACAAAAAATATATATATATCAAAAAGAAAAAAAAAAACAAAAAAAATAATATATATATAACAAAGTTAAAAACCAACACCTGACATTTATTCCTATTATTTCCTTCTTTTTTCCTTTCTTTTGCTCTTAATTTTCTCAATTCCTCTTCATTATTTGCTAACCTTGCTCTTAATCTGTTTCTTTTCTCTAACAACTGGATATACCATTGCTCCAACATCCAACTGTCTTGCACTCTTGCGACTGCATTTACTCTTAACTCTTTTAACGCTGTTTCCAAACTTTGTATTCTTCTTTTTTGAAAAGCCACCAACTGATATAAACTATAAACAAGTTTTGTTAAGTGACAAAAAAAAAAAAAATACAAGAAGATTTTTAAAAAATAATATTACTGCCTGTTCTTAATTTGAACTACCTCTAAGGCCTTATATAAGGCATTATTGCTATTTTGGTAAGCATGATGAACATTTCTAGGAAGACTTTTCAAGGCATCATTATGATTATTATTGGAGTTGATGTTGTTGCTATTGATATTGGTGGAGTTTATAAAAAAAAAAAAGAAGAGGGAAGCAACAAAAAAACTATTTTTAACAGATAATAATGAAACAAAATTAGACATCTATTAGAAGTTGATTTACCAAATTTAGAAATCAATTAAAAATTGAATTAACAAATTTGGAATAACAATAATTTGTAAATCAAATGATTCCAAATAATAAAAAATAGATCCTATTTATAACTTTGTATAGTAGTTAAAATTTATAGAACAAATCTCTTAAAAGAAATACATTAGAATAAATTTAAACAAAATTAGAATATTTTAGTTTGTTATATTTAGATAAAAATAACTGATGGTTAAATATTTTACTTACTGAAAAATACTAGAAATTTGAGATAGCAATAAGTCTTTTAATTTGGCCTGACAATAGCATATTAATAATTGTTAAGCATACTAAAAAAAAGAATTTGAAATAGCAATAACTTTTGAAAATAGGCCTAACAATAATATGTTAATAATTGTTAAGCATGCTAAAGAAATTAGAAATATCTGTAAATCACAACTATAGCCTGGTACTAATGGGTTTAATAAGTACTATGCATGATAAAATAGAAGAAAATTGTAATTTTTAAAATAATAGAGTATATATCTTCATATTACTATACTTTTATGATGATATGTTGAAGCTTAAATATTTAGTATAATCAATTAGGTCATATGACTTTCAAGATATTATACTATTAAAACAAGAAATCTATAATCCGAAATTAAAGAAAATTCAGACTAGGTAGTTAGTATCCTAGCAATCTAATTAAAGATAGAAACTATTACTTATTATAACCTTAAGTACTTCTTGAAAACAGCAAATTTTCTTACAAATTTTACAAGAAGTCAAAGAAAACAACTAGAATCTTAAAGTAAATTCTATATTATTAAGAACAATTTACTTTATAAACAAAACTGAAGAATTACCCAAGGCACAAGAGAAAGCCAATAACAATATCAAGAAAACTCAATTTCGACAAAAATTCTATTAGGACAAAAAGCACAAAAATGTCAAAACAATCTTTAAAAAAGAAAATAAATTTCTCTTATATAATGCCATGAGAGACAAACATTACTTTGGCAAACTATTATCTAAATAAAAAGGATCTTATTTTGTATATAAAAAAGTTATATCAGATGTTTACATATTGTGAACCTTAAAATACAATATTTTGAAAACACCAATTAATACCTTGTTGCTCAAAAGATATCATGATAAACATTTGTAGAATTCTATGATTGTTATTAATCAATTACCTCTTCATACTAATAGAAATAATACTCTCTTACAATGAATACTTATTTTAATACTATTCTCTCAAATCTTCTAAATACAATACCTGCTTTTCTAATTACTGTAACTTGTTCAACTAATGAATCAAGACCTACAAAAACAAATAACCACCACATATTGAAAGCTTCTTAGGACTAATAGTTCTCAAAGAAAAAAGCAACTTATCTATACTTATTATTTGAATAAAATATTAGAAAAATATCTGATTAAAACACGTAAGGATTTTACTAAGAATTATTATCCTTCTGATAATTTATATTTAATACAAATTATAGAAGATTATGAAGATTATTATACACATGAATATTATATGAAAGTTAAATGTGTTGCTACAAATAGTTTTGATGTTTAGATTCTTATTTCAGGATTTCCTGTTTATTGTGAATTCAAGATTAATAACGAAAATGAACAAAATGATAATAAAAAAATATACAAAATACTTAGTTTTATAACATCTTTAAATTATACAAGTTGGACTATAGATACTAAAGATGTTTTTGGAAAAAAATATCATTTTTTACGAGTATTTTTTATGAATCATAATATCAGAAAACAAATAATTAAAAAAATACAAATGATTATTAAAAATAAAGATGAAGGATATGAGATATTTGATTTATATGAAGATGATATTTCAACTCTTTATTCAGTTTTCATTGCACCAAGAACTCAGATTATTATTGATGGAATTAAAAGAGGATTTTCATTATCTAAAACTTTTAAAATGAATAGAACATTATCTAAAGATATGTATCAAAATAAATTAAATTATTCAACATTAAAATTTGAAGATAATTTTGATGCATATATATTAATGTATTTTGATTATGAAACTGTTAATATTATGAATTTAAAAAAGAATGAATTAGGAAGAGTTTCTACTGGATTTGTACAAGATCGAGCATTTATAGGTGTATTTGTATATTTTTTAAAGGATGTGAAATAAAACTATTTTATATTATAGCAATTTTATTACAAAATGAGGAATTTCCTGTAGAGTATGAAAACAATAATTGTGATTTAAATTTAGTATACACTAAAACTCAAGATGAATTTTTTTTAGTTAAAGCACAATTATATAATAATTTTGGACCTGAAAAAACTGGAGGATGAAATAATTTAGGATATGATTGGAAGTTCACATTAAGAAAATTATATGAACTTCAATTATTTAGTGATTTTATAAGAATAGCAACTGGAAAAGAAAAAGAAACAGAAGATATAATTAGATGGGATTTTTGTCAAAATTATATTACTATAAATGCTAGTGAAAAAACTAAACATTATTATCTTAAAATAAATGGAACTGATGAATATGATCAACAAACAATGTTTAGACAACATTTTGGAATGTTAGCAAATTGGAAATTGAATAATATATTAAAAATGCTTAAGTTGAATCCAAAAGATGATTTAGAAATTAAAAAGATGTATGAAATATTATATAATTGTTATTAAGGAAATTATAATGAAGAAGAAAAGAAAAAACAATGTATAATTATATTAAAATATTGTATTAGAGATTGTATAGCACCAAAAGAAGCAATTGAATATATAAATAAAATTACTAAATATAGATTAATATTAGATCTAACTATTATACCTTTATATGAATATTCATATAGTAATAAAACCAAAATGATAAATAATTTATTTGTTAATTTAGCTCATCAAGAAAAGTTTGAAATATCATTTAAATATAGAAATAGAAATCAAAAAGAAAAATTTAAAGATGGTTTAGTTGGAGATCCAGAAAAAGGATTTTCATCATTAACTCATATAGTTTTAGATTTTAATTCATTATATCCAAGTCTCATGACTCAAAATAATATATGTTTTCTTACTAAACTTTTGGATAATGAAGAAAGAAAGAAATGTTATGAGATATCATTTGAAGATATAAAAGAAAAAACTAAATATGTTAGATTTTCAAAAACTAAATATGTTAGATTTTCAAAAACTAAAAAAGAATTAATACCAACAATTTTAAAATTACTTATAAAACAAAGAAAACAAGCAAAAAAAGATCGTAGTAAATATAATAAATCAGATAAAATATATGTTAATGAATTAACTGAGAGTCATATTAATCAAGGAAATTCTGAAAATTTAATTTATACAAAAGCATTAGCATTTATTGAAAAAAATTATAATTATTATAATATTTTACAAAATGTTTTAAAGAGAATAGCTAATTCTATTTATGGTCAATTTGGTAATCAATATTCTATTATATATAATTATAAAGTATTAGCTAGTATCACTGCATTTGCTAGAAATTACATAACAATGGCAACTGAATACATGAAAAACAAAGAGATTTCTAAAACGATAAAAGAAAAAAAGTTTATTTGAAAATATACTGATACTGATTCATTTTTTTTTTTTATCACCTATATTGATAAATGAAATTATTAAAAAATATGAATTTTGATTATTAGATAAAAAAGTAAATGAAGAAGATTTTAGTAAAATAATATATGATATTCAAAAAAAGATAGTACTTGTATCTTATAATAAAGGTATTAATTTACAAAATGAAATTAATAAATGGATAGCTAATGAAATAGAATCTTCTTATATTGTTATAGAAAAGAAAAAAGGTATTAGTCCAAATTTATATATATCAAAGAAAAAATATAATGGATTAATATATGATAAACCTAAATATTATTATGATGATAATAAAAAGGTTTAAAAAATCATGTTAAAGAAGTTTTAAAAGTTGATAATATAACAAAAGAAATGATTGATGAATATATTAAGACAGCAAATGAATATACTTTATTATCATATAGTAGAAAATTTGATAATTTATTAGCAAAAGAAACAGATTTAGTTAGATGAAATGCAATTTTAATAACTTGTGTGATATTAAAAAATTACTTTATATAATATTCGATTATAGAGAATATAGTAAATATTTATATGATAAAAAATTCACTAAAATAGAGGAATATCAGAATTTTATTAATTTTAATGAAAATGAATGGTGTAGAGATATAAGCAAAAAAATAATTAAAGATTTTATTAAATATCTTTATTCAAAAGAAACTGAATTGGAATTAGAATTATTTGAACAAAATGCAAGAAACAATGAAGAAGAAGATAATGGTAAAATAACATTTATTGAATTAACAAATCATAGATGTTTTAAATATAATAATCAAGGCAAATAGGAGATTGTAAATAATAAAATTATTCTTTATGATGAAAAAGAAAATTTAATTGATTTTTCTAGAAATAGAAAAAATCAAAAAAGATGGGAATGATCAGATCAAGATTATATTTATTTACAAAAGGATGAATTAAAAGAAGATGGTTCAGTAATTGAATATAAAAAAGTTGAATTAAAACAAGTATCTGATGAAGATACAACTTCTTATGTTAAGAAATTTGTTGCTGATATGAAATTGATTAGTATTAAAGTACCAAAACCACGATTTAAATATTATATAATATATAAACATAGAGTTAAAAAAGTTTGAAAATGAATGATATTAGTGGATAAGTTTGATCCAGAAAAACATAGAATAGATAAATTTCATTATTTAAAAGGTATTATTAAATTTTTAGCTGTTTGTATAGGGTGTAATGAA